GATGATTACTGAATGCAAGTGAATAAGAGGAAAAAATTCTCCATGCTTTATTTCTCAAACACCAATGAAATAGGGGTAAAGGTAGTAGAAATTTACAGTTGAAAATTTAATCAAGAGAGTAAAAGAAAATTTAATCAAAAGAAAAAAGTATACATGGAACAGGAATGGAGAAGCTAGCGGTTTTCAGAGAGAAAGAAAGAAAGATAAGAATAGAAGGGATTTTTAATACAGAAGCCTCGAGTAGGAGAGGATTGAATGAGGAAAATTTTAGATGGGAATTGATTAGTCTTCTCAGCATTGAGCCTGACCGTTTTGTTGCAGATACAGGAATTTGTATTTACCCGCAAGCAAAGAGGGATTTTTTTTTCAGCAAAGAAATAAGAGGGGAAAGATTTTTTTTTCTTATTTTGACAGAAAGAACTGGCAACAGATGGCTCTAAGGTTTTTCTGTAACAAATTAGTAAGTTCTACCAAATCATCTTCAAAGATAACAAGCCATTCCTTTAAGTTCTATCATGCATAAAAACTTCAGCACAAGTTGAAGGATTCATCTCTTTGAACCTATCAATTGGAATACCATCTTCATGTTTCTCACAAAATTTTCTGTTTAGGCTTACCTTAATTAAGTTCAATTTTACAAAGTAAAATAAACAATTGTAAGGTTCAATATTCCAGACTTAACCTGAGATATTATAAATCTAAGAGTACATCATGTTTTGTAAATACGTACTTCAGTAAACCAAAACTGATTTCTAATAAGAATTTCTAAACTATTAAACATCACAATCTATCATTAAAGAGGCAAAACTACAGTTATGCAGCAATTTAATTCTTTTTTCAGTCAAGGAATAGAAAATTTAAGGTGTTTAATTAAAATAGCAACTTACTCACAATTTCAAGTGGGTGTTTACAATCTAATATTTGAGATATAGAAAGGGACCAAAAAGTACTCAAGGTGCTGAACTAAGACCAGAGGTTTTCTGGATTATTATGAAATGAAGGGTTAAATGGATACTTGAACCCACTTGAAGTAACTGACTGTAACACCTCCGGAAGTTGCCTATATGTCTGGGAGTATAACAACTCCCTTCTTTGTTGTAAAGTAAAGCCAAGGTTAGTTAAGTTGCTTCCCTGCACAAGTTATTTTTGCTTTGAGACACTATGCCTTTTGACCTCACATACGAACCTCCATCTGCCTCTGGATTAATAGGATGATTAGCTGCCTCGATTATAAATTTGGCTTTAATATCTTTTGCATTAATCATCTTCAAGCAAAAGATAATAGGTGCTACTAGTGTAACTCAAAATTTTGGTCAATGATTAACTTGACAGGGAAGTTCCTGATTCCCAGAGGAGAAGTATATTCATCAAATGCTGAAAACCCAATGAAGAAAAGGGAACTGGAAGAACTGAAGCAAATAGAAAGACATTTTAAAGATCAAAAAATCTATTTTAAACAAGTGAATCTTTTTAGTTACCATATCGATTGCTTTTTCTAAGTAGGAGATCAACAAAACACCTGCATGAAAGGCACAAAAAAATGACTAAAAAGAAAACTCGAAAAGAGGAAATGCCAAAGAAAATGGTTAAAAAGAAAAGCATACCATCATTTGAGGTCTGAAGAGAGCAATTTAAAGAAAAAAGTTAAATCACAATAATAAAACAAAACTTACATTTTTCCCACAGCAGTTGCCTTTCACAGGTGGTCATTTTTCGTCCCTGCTGCAGAAGAAATCCAAGAAAGGCAAAATCGAAAAAGAAAATGGAACAATAAAAACCAAGTAGGTACAAAAAATAAAGTAAATAAATATCTAAAAGCTAGCTAATCATCAATTATTCACCATCTTAGATCATATTAAAAGTTTTTCTTGGAACTAAAAATAAAAAGTCAATGATAAAACTGAAATGAAACAAATACATTAATCACAGAAAGAAAGGGGAAGAAAAATTACCATATCTGTATTCTACAAATTCGCATAGTTAGTCGGGATGAAATATTGAACTTCCCTTTCTCGCTGTTTCTGAAAAAGACATGAAAGAGGAGGGAAAATTGATTGTTTTTGCCAAGAAGATGGCAGAAAAATAGAAAAAATTAGCTATAATCACTCGAGGGAGGGAGGGAGGGAGGGAGGGAGGGAGATGAAGAAGAACAAGAGGGAGAAATGGGAGAATTGATAGAGGGAGGGGAGGAGATTACTAGCCCCTTTTCTGCCTTGAGCCTATCGTCCAACAACTCTATCAGAAGAAAAAAAATTGGCCCCTAAAGAATTATAGAATGACGTGTTTTACAAACAAAGCAAGCAAAGGGGAAAATGTATAAACAACATATTATCCCAAAACTATATGCAAGCAAAGGAAAAAGAAGAATTAAAAAAGTGCACAATATCATACAAAAATAAACTGCATTTGAATATGCAGTGAGCAAACAAAGAATGGAAGGTTGTTAGAAAACAAATTTAAGAAAATAAAATGAAGCTTCCTAAATGCCAAAAGAATTCAGTTAAGATTTAAGAATATTATCGAATCAATTTGACAAGCGCCCAAAAGAAAGAGACAACACAAAATATTCTGTTAACGATGCCAAGGAAAAATATGCATTTACATGTGAAAAGAAAAAAAATAAGAGCATGTGATTTATTTCAGGAACATTGATATGCTTTTTCTATTTTCTTCCTTAAACTGAGAGGGTTGGAGAGGCATGGGAAACAATGTTAAAGAATACACCTTTTTAAGAAAGTAACCTTATAGAATCTACCTTCAAAAGGGAAAAACAAGACTTAGAAAACCGCATGAAGATGGTGGAGGAAATTTCCAGATTATGTACCTGCAACATCACAACATAATAAAAGGGAAAAAAAATTAGAAAACTAATTTGGTAAATAATAGGAGGAAAGAAAAACCAAAAGGCTAATAAAGATGCTTTTGAAAAAAGAAGTAAGAAGAGTTTTTGAAGTAAAAAAAGATTCCAGCCAGTCTTTTGATTTTGTTTCTGTCCATCAAAAAGTGAAAAAAATTGTAAATAATAGGAGGAAAAAAAAGAACTAAAAGACTAATAAAGATACTTTGGACAGCCGGCAACATCTCCAATTCAACTTCGACAGGCTTCTGTTTATAAGGGTGAAGCTGCGGTTGTTTTTTCCAGAGTAGATGCGGACAGACTTGCGGCGCCATTCAGATGGACTTTGGTTGACAAATTCTCTCACGGACGACCTTCTTTGGAAGATATTCGAAAGTTTTTTGCCTCTTTGAACTTGAAAGATCAAGTTTCCATTGGATTGTTGGATTATAGGCATGTCCTTATTAAATGCTCAGCTGAAGTAGACTTTAACAGAGTTTGGTCGAGAGGAACTTGGCAATTGGGCAAATATCCAATGCGTGTGTTTCGATGGACCAGGGAATTTCATGTGCATAAAGAATCATCTCTAGTACCGGTTTGGGTAAATCTTCCATCTCTACCTATTCATTATTTTGATAAACATTCTTTGTTTTCAATTCTGTCTCCAGTAGGAAGACCATTGTTCTTAGATTCGGCCACGGCTGCTGGGACTCGTCCTAGTGTAGCCAGGATATGTGTAGAGATAGATGTAGCTAAAATTGTTGTGCCAAGGGTGTGGGTTGCTGTCGAAGGTGAATCAGGTTTCTGGCAACGTATTGTCACAGAGAATATCCCTCCATATTGTTCTTTTTGCTCAAGGCTAGGACATCATCATGAGGAGTGCAAGAAGAAGTTGAATAAGGATGAATCTCGGCTCAAATTTAAACAGACCATGAATGCGCAGCAAGATCTACACTTACATGGAAATCAAATGGTTAATCATCAACCTGAGACTAATCCAGCTGCTATGGCAAACGATATGGTGGCGGAAGTGGTTGCTGATATTGCGAAAGATACGGCTGCGAATGCGACTGCTGCTACTGGGAGCGAAAATGCAATAAATATTTCTGATTCTCATGAAGTGCGAACTACTGCTACGGTTCAAAAAAGAAAAAATATTTTAGCAGCAAAAGCCACTATTGCTGGGTCTGCCGTGCAAGTGGAGAAAGGGGAAGTAAATGTTCTGCAACATTGTGCTATTCATGATGATCATGCGGTTGAAGCAACCAATAACCAAACCGCTGATGCTAACGAAAAAATAGAAACAAGTAACATGATGAGTTTGACATTGCATAGGGGACAAAGAGAAATGGACTATCAACTGGATAATCAACATGGTCTTTAACTTGAAGGGTCCCATTCCCACATTGCGAAGCCTTTTAACACCGAACCAGTGCATGTGGACAGTCATCAAAATGAAAGGTCCCATTTCCCCATTGAAAAGCCTCTTAACACCGAACCAGAGCATTTGACCGACAATGGTTCAAACTGTAAAGATAATCTAACCCACAACAATGTGAGGGGTGAACATCACTTGCTAGCTGACAATGTCAATGCTGATCATGAACTGATGGCCGACAATACTGTTTCGGAGAATCTCTATGTTGATTTGTGAGGGAGAAAGGAATCTACACAACAAGAGGTTTTGGAACAGTCTGCTGGTGACGTGGAGAAACAGGAGAACCGTGTTGAGGAGGGATTATTGGATGGTGGGTTTGCATCCCTATCAGAGGGGGAGGCTGACGATGACGATAGATTCTATGGTGGGATGACACAGGAGCGCATGGGCTCCTCTGGGGTTGTAGATATTTTTAACCTTGACCCAATTATTCAACAGGTTAGTGACAAGCTCCAGCATGGGGAAGAATTCCAGTTGGTTAAGTATGGCAAGAAGAGAGGAAAGCTACCTCAAATTCCGTCAGATAGGTCGCTGCGATCGAAAGCAAAGGCAACCTCGAACTCTTTCTCTGCTGTAAATCAATGATTAAGTTCCTTTTCTGGAATATCAGGGGTGTGTCCCGTGCCCCAAATTTTCGTAGATTGATTTTTAGTTAATCATCATGCGATTCAATTGGTTGCTATCTGTGAACCGAAAGTCCAAGCAGTGGATATTCATTCGATTAGGATGTGTCTTCACATGGATCAAGCCATCTGTAATAGTAGGAGGGATATTTGGGTTCTTTACAAATCCTCTATCTTGTGTAGCATGGTTGGAGAATCGAGTCAACACATGTCACTACAACTTAGCTCTTTGTTATTGGAGAGACCTATCACCTTCTTAGTTACTCATGCAAAGTGCACAGACACTGAACGGCTAGAATTGTGGTCTAGTCTCCTAGTGGACAACCCGGATCAATCCCCTTGGTTGATTGTGGGGGATTTCAACGTCATCGTGTCGACGGAGGAGAAAAGGGAAGGGTTGCCTTTTAGACCAGTAGAGGGTTGGGATATTTTAGATTTTATGTCTCAGGCAGGGGTTTTTGATGTGGGGTACTCGGGCTCTTGCTTCACATGGTGCAATAACAGGCATGGGCGGGCGCGTATCTGGAAGCGATTAGATAGGTTGCTAATGAATCAAGTTACTTCTAATTTCGCTCTGGATTTTAGCGTTCGCCATTTATCTAGGGATCCTTCGGATCATGCGCCATTATTATTATCGGCTATGACAAAACTAGACAACAAGCTGAGGCCATTCCGATTCTTAAATTTTTGGGCATCTAAGCCTGGGTTTTTGGATGTGGTCCGATGCAACTGGAACGTGGCTTTCTCGGGGCCTCCGTTAATGGTCCTTGCTGCTAAGCTTCGAAGTGTCAAGATGGTGTTACGTGCCTGGTCTCGGGAGGTTTTCGGAGATATCTTTGGCTCGGTACGGGTGGCAGAGGACATGGCCCTCAACGCTGAGTTGAGCTATGACACTGATCCATCGGAAGACAAGCTTGTAGCATTACAGAAGGCTTGGGCTGATCTTCGGCGGTCGCAAGGGGTAGAGCATATGTTTTGGCAACAAAAATCAAGGGTCAAATGGTTGAAGGATGGAGATCGAAATTTGAGATATTTCCATGCAGTGGTGGCAGAGCGCCACCAACGGTCGGTAATCCATCGGATTAAATCATCCACTGGGGATTGGCTGGAGTCTGCGGATGACACTGAGAGTGAAGCCGAATCCTTTTTTAAACGGTTATTTACGGCAGAGTCCCCTAGTGCATCCTTTAATGCTCTTGACGTTATACCGAAATTGCTGACGGACCAGGATAATGAGATGCTAGACGAGATCCCTTCTAAGGAAGAAGTTAAGTCAGTGATTTTTGCAATGGATGGTGGGAGTGCAGCTGGGCCGGATGGGTTCTCGGGTAGGTTTTTTACGTGTGCATGGGACATTGTGGCAGAGGATGTCCACGCGGCTGTGGTAAGTTTCTTCTGTGGAGAGGTGCTGCCTAGGAGTATATCTTCCACTTCAATAGTGCTGATTCCGAAGGTCCAGTCTCCGCAGGATTTTACCCAATTCCGTCCGATTAGCTTGTGTAACTTTATCAATAAGGTGATATCCAAGGTCTTGTTAGACAGATTAGCATGGATCTTGCCGAAGATTATTTCTCCTCAGCAGAGTGGCTTTGTGAAAGGAAGGCATATCTCTGATAATTTTCTGTTGGCTCAGGAGCTTATATCTGGAATTCGTCGCTCTAATAGGGGAGGGAATGTGGTGTTAAAGTTGGACATGGCCAAGGCTTACGGCCGCGTTTCATGGGTTTTCTTGTTACAAGTACTGCGTCGATTTGGTTTCACGGAGAGGTGGATTGATATGATTTGGCGGTTAATCTCCAATGTTTGGTTTTCGGTTCTGGTCAACGGCTCTCCTTGTGGCTTTTTCCAATCAACTAGGGGGCTCCGACAAGGTGACCCCATTTCACCGGCTCTTTTTGTTATTGAGGCAGAGTTCCTGTCTAGGTTGCTTAACTCTTTGGTTGGCCAGCGTGGATTCCTGTCGTTTAAGATTCCTTCCAGATGTCCTGCCATTACACATCTAGCTTTTGCAGATGACGTAATTATTTTTTGTAGCGGGGTTAAGAGTACTTTGCGGCATGTTATGAGGGTATTGGGGATGTATTGTAGTATGTCTGGGCAGCAGGTAAATTGTCTGAAGAGTTGCTTTGTTACTCATGATAAGTTGAGCCCTGCTCATCGACGTGTGGTGTCACAAGTTTCTGGTTTTCAGGCCAAGTCCCTCCCACTTAAGTATCTTTGATGTACTCTCTATTCCGGAAGACGGAGATGTAGCTACTTCTTGGACATCTGCTCCTCAGTTGCAAAGCGGGTTCTATCGTGGAAGGAAAAGTTATTGTCGCCTGGTGGGCATTTGGTTTTAATCAGGAGTGTTTTGTCGTCGTTGCCTCTACACATCCTTGCTGTCACGGATCCTCCAAAGGGTGTGCTTCATACCCTCGAGAAGGTTTTTGCAAATTTCCTTTGGGGAAGGTCTGAGGGGGGTAATCGCTACCATTGGATTAGATGGGAGACTATGTGCAAACCGCTTGATGAAGGGGGGATCGGCGTGCGGTCCCTGGCGGATGTGTTGGAGACATTTTCAGTGAAGCTATGGTGGTCCCTCAGGCAATGTTTATCCCTCTGGGCAAAATTTATGCACGCTAAATACCTCCATGGCGGTCATGCGTGTGAAGCGGAACTTCAGCGCTTTCAATCTCCCACCTGGAGGAGGCTGGTCAGGTGCCAGGCTCTGGCAGATTCCCATATCCAGTGGGTGTTGCAGAATGGAATGGTGGACTTTTGGCATGAGAATTGGATGGGTGCAGGGTCGTTGTGTCAACAGGTTGAGAACTTTGGTGATCACGCCGTAGCGGACTTCGTGTTGAATGGGAGCTGGAACGTTTCGATGCTTCATCAATGGCTACCTGATAGCATTGTTTCTAGGATTATGCAAATATGCCCTCCTGATATTTTTTCTACACGCTCAGATAGGATGGTGTGGGACTTGGAGACAACTGGTTCCTTCTCATTCTCATCTACATATAATTTGGTCCGACAGGATTCCAACATTTCCATCTTCTCCTCTAATATTTGGTTGTCAGCTTTGCCTATAAAAATCTCTTTTTTTATGATTATGATGTTATCGGGCCGCCTGCCTGTGATGGAATCACTGCAGAGGCGGGGTGTCTACCGTCCATCTCGTTGTTCTTGCTGTGTCAACCCAGTGGTGGAGTCAGTTGATCATGTCTTTTGTGCTGGAGATGTCCCACGGTGGGTATGGAATTCTTTTCAGGTAGAGGCAGGAGACTTTGCACATGTCTCAACGGTAAAACATGCAGTCATTCAATGGTGGATGCGCCCGGCTAAGAACAAGTTGATGAAATTGTTGTATCAGATATTGCCTTCGCTTATTTGTTGGCATCTTTGGAAGGCTAGGAACGTGGCGGTGTGGGAAGGAAAGGTGTTGTCAGCGATACAGGTACATGGCTTCATTCTTTCGGATCTCTGTGATATTCTTCAGGTGCACTTTAAGGATATGGGGGTGGGACGTTATTCGTGGCATCGACTACACATTTCGCTGATGGGGTGGAAGAAGGAAATGAGGGTCACATTAGTCAGGTGGCTGCCTCCGGCTTCTACCCTCCTAAAACTGAACACCGATGGGTGCTCCTTAGGGAATCCGGGGAGGAGTGGAGGTGGTGGGATTTTGCGAGATAGTGCAGGAATTTTCAGACTTGGTTTTGCGGGTTATTGGGGAGAGACGACGAGCCTATATTCAGAATTGAAGGCCTTGTTATTTGGGATTAAGTTGTGTGTCACGCGAGGCTTTTGTTGCTTGCACCTGGAGTCTGATTCCATTCTTTTAGTCCAAATGGTCACAGGGGTTGGTAGATGCCATGGGCCTTGCAACGAGAGCTGGATGAGTTGCTTGCCTTTCGGAATGCTTTTCATGCTGTCTCCCATTGTTATCGCCAAGCGAATGTGCCAGCAGATCGGCTTTCTAATATTGGGACAGATACCGGCTCTACCGTTATCTATAACTCGTTTGCGCAATTGCCGCGTTTGGTTCGAGGAGACCTTAGGTTGGATAGGCTTGGCTATCCTAACTTCCGTGCTTCTTGAGCGCCGGCGTGCTTGTGTTTAGTGATGTTTCCATGTACTGGTTCAGGAAAAAGGGGGGAAAGGTGAGGATAGGTCAAGTCTTTTGTTCATGGCCATGCTGCAAATCTTGTAACTTTTATGATTTTGTATTGAATAAAAAACTAGATTATTAAAAAAAAAAAAAAAGATACTTTGGAAAAAATGAAGCAATGAGAGTATTTGAAGTAAAAAAGTTCCAGCCAACTTTTTGATTTTGTTGTCGTCTATCAGAAAGAAATTCAAGAGAGAAAAAGTGCAGCTTTCTTCGTGACACTATTACAATATAAAAATGATACAAATCACTAATTCTGAAAAATAAAATTACAGAACACAGAGAGGCAAGCCAAATCGGGAGGCAAGCCTAGGGTCAGAGACCTTGTTTCAGGATTTCCCGACTCATTAGCAATTTTTATACCTCAAAAATCACATACCCACCTTCCCTATCATTTAAGAGTCCTCAATATCGTCCATATAAAAAAAATGCTTGTAGTAAGAAACAATTGATAATAACCCCAGCAGGGCCTCTTATGGTTCCACTTTGACCATCAAGTAAGATCACTTTCAAAATTTTTCAATACAAAAAAATTATGCTCCAAGCATTTTAAACTACCAGTAATTTAAAGCAAATTATACCTAGATAAGGATATTTGCAGTAAAAAAATTTCATAGTTGAAACTTAATTAATCAAAAGTGGATTAAACAGATAAAAATGGACACTGTATGTGTGTGTGTGTGTAAGAGAGAGAGAGAGAGAGAGAACCCATGGATATGATATTTTGGGAAGCTTTCGTTTTCTCTATTGGAACCATTCACTCCAAGCCTGCAAATTTTCTGTCAAATTCACCTCTTAATTCTCCATCTATACCATAACAATAACAAATAAACAAATAAAAACACAATAAATCAATGAATACAAATACATAAAATGATACTTCATATTTTTCTGAAAGATCCAAGATCTTTTGGAGCATATTAGTTAAAACATCACGACACGAGATGGGGTTCCAAAATTCTAACCTTAGGATTTATACAAAATCTTGACGGTAAGGGCTTCTTTAGATCTCAAAATCTAACCTGAAAGCTCTTCCAACATATACATTCCAGAGGATTCCACTACCGATTGCTGAAAAATCAGGCAGTAACTTAGGAAGAAAATAGAAAAATAAAAGAGGGAAAAAAGGAAAAAAGTTACACAACCTTACTCTCATTGAGATGCTGGAGGCTGAAAGACATTTCCAATTTTTTGCACCTGCAACATCAAAGATATATACAAATTAATATATAAGAATTTGACTGCTAAACCCCTACAAAAAAAAGATCCAAATGACTAGAGAGAGAAAGAAGAAGAGATTACAAACCCAAAAAAAATCCCAACCATCCTCCTTGTTGTAGTTGTTCTCAGTCAAAATCGAAAAGAAAAGAAAAAGATGAAGAAGAAGAGAGATATGAGGGGATAATTGATGAAGAGGAAAATAAGGTAAAGAGAGACGATGATGGAAAAAATAAAAAAGAAAAAAACCGTTTCTTATTTTTTTCAAGCCAAAAAAACTCCAAGCAAAATATGGAGCCATTTTTTACTTTATCATTTCTTCTGGGTTAGATTAGATTAGAAGATGAAGGAAAAGAACAGATGAAGACAAAGAGAGGATGAGGGCTTTCTGAAGAAAGAAAAAGAAAGAGATGATGATTGAGAGAGGAGATTGATTAAGAGAGAGAGAGGAAAGGAAGTTCCTCTGAAGCATCGAGCCCAATGCAAGAGTCAAATCTCACAAAAATGTAGCCAAAAAGAAGCAGGTTGGAGTGGGTAGAAAGAAGGCTGATGACTTCCACCGAACACTGGCAGACAAACACAGTAGCAATAAACAAGTGGAAGGAAAGACAGGACGAACAAAGGGGAGGAAAAATTAGGCGTAACCAAGCCAAATTTACAACCAATCACGTTGCGCCACATCACCAGAAAACCAATCCCCTCTTGCCACGCGGAGGACGACCACGCCGACATGGATCCCCGATTTCCACACTTAGTCTATATGGTTGATGATAAAATCCCTACGACAAATATTATATTGAAAAAGAAAAACAACACCAAATATCATGATATACTCAGACAAGAAGAGATAAAAAGTGTTGCAAGGACATCATCTTAAATGCCGTGTACCCTAGTCGCAGGTTCCATATCTGATCTATTTATCAATTGCAATGAAATTGACCTTGTCATGAAAAATATGTATTCAGCCTATGATGACCGTGGGGACAAGCAATATTATTGGCGTTATAGGTACTGACATGGATTGAATAACAATCGGTGGTCCACTTTGCGTCAGTCATTTCGAATAAAAAGTTGCATCTCACAATTGGAAAATTTAGCAATTCAAGTGATCATATACTCCTTCTATCCCATTAAAAATATCATATTTTTTATTTTACGATGTTTCAAAATAATTATCATATTAAAAAAATCAAACCTCCTTTTAGATTCTCTTTTCAACATAATCCTTCTTTTTAATCATGTGCATGTTGCCATTCAAATTTAAAATTTAAATTTATGGGGGTAAAATTGGAAAGAGAAACACAAATATCATAATCAAACCACTATTCTTAAAAAGTTGGATTCCCCAAATATGATCAAAAAAATGGGACGGAGGAAGTATATCATAGTGTGTGTGCTATATTTTTAAACTCAGACCATGCTAGCCAGTCTGACTGATTGAACCGAGATTTGGTCAGACTTTCGATTCGAGTTATGTGTAAAAACCCGCCTATCAAAGATTCAACCAAATATCAGGTTTGATCGAAAATCGGTAAAACTAGTGTAGGAAAAATTAATTCTTCAGAGTAAATTTTACATATACTGACAATGAGTTATATATCATATTATTACAGCAACTTGAATCAATAAGCCATAAAGAGGCACTTGATGTGATAGAAAAAGTACTAGTAAAAGATTGAGGAGTGTAAGCAAGAACTTAAAAAAATAATGGCCTGAGGGTAGCAAGAGATGAATGCCCAGCACTGGGAACACCAGTATACTCGAGAAGTGAGTTGGTGACATTAGTAGCAACAACAGTGCGAGGAGTAGAATTATAGAGACGCTGTCCTCGATCTTCCTTTTTTGCACTAGAGTTTGTGACACTCAACAATAGTATGACCTAAGCGATGATAATACTTGCATTCAATAGTTGACTTATTTGTTGAGTGAAGAGGTGATTTCTGGTCAGGTAGCTGACTGGAACTAATTCAGCTCCTTCTTACAAGAAGTGAAATTTGTATATAGGTTTGCTAGTCCAAAGTGAGAGGCGGGGCTTTGTCCCCTAGGATCACTCCGACGATCAAATCAATTTAGTGAGAGAAAATCAAGAGTAATAGCAATTTCGACTGCAACAGTATGCTTACTTGCTTAGAGAGAGTAAGAGGTATTTATAGAGTATGAATGGAGGAAAGGACAGTGAATTTAAACCAGTGGATCCCACAATCTGTGCTTTACGGCTCTGCTCTGCACCTGAGGGCTCTGTCCCTGACACGCAGCAGTGGCCCGAGCTTTATGCCAAGCGACCTTGTGCGTTCCCAATAAAGAGTCCTTGCAGTTTCAGTTAAAGTGGTGATTATTAATAACATGTCAGGCAGGCTAACATCATCTGTGTGCGGAAAGGATGAGACGTCCATTTGGAGTACAGAGAACGAGCTCCCAACCGTAGCCGTGATGACCTCGGACCGAAGTATGGGAAATGATCGCGGGATTCCGGTGATCAATTCAGTTTGGACGATCTGAAATGACCGTCCTCAAAAAGCCCCCCAAGCCTCGGAAGCGTAGGGCATCATCAGGTCCCGAGGCTTCCGTGTGCCGAAGTCGCCCAGATGCCAAGGTAGTTATAGAGAGAGTAGTTGAATTGCGCCTGGCATTTATGGTGCATGACACTTGGGCAAGTCAACTAAAAGGATGTGGGGTAACAGGACGGTTATGGGTGACTGATACGACGCAAGATAGTGGGAGGATATATGCAGGTAATGTGTCAGTGAAAAGGCAGAGTCATTAATGAAGAGAGAGGGGCACGCCTTTTTGAAAATTAATGTTGCCGCCTCTTTGCATTCCCCCATCTCCTATAAATAGGGGTCCTTTTACCACTTTACTTTTTACTGTTTCCTCTAACATCAAAACTATAGCAAATATCAGAGCAGCCACCCGAGATCTCTTTTTTCAGCCGACATCAACCCGCTTTAGCAAACAGTAAGTCTATTCTCTTCGTCCTTCTATACTTATGGCTAGAGTGGCTAGTACACACAAGGAAACGGTGAAACCGAGTTACAAAGCAGCGGAGGGGCCCAACCTATCAGAGGAGAAGATTTCATCCAGTCTTAGGGAAGAGACCGTCGAGACCTCCCAAGTAGAAGAGTCTCCCGAGACGAGTCAGGGGAACTCCGAGGTTCTATATTATGATGACCTCGGAGTCGAGATCCCCTATGATGAGGGAGTGTTGGAGCCAGTCACTCCAAGAGATCTTTCCACCATAGATTTTGTCCAGCTTCCATCGCTCAGAAGTAGGATCGGTTTGGTCGAAACTAATAGGATAATACGGAAATACCTATTTAGGGAGAGGTATAGCATTGCTGCACCCGAACCGAGCCACTCAGCCGAGAGGCTTCAAATGGGCAAAGTGATCATCTATGTGGAACAACTGGAGACCGGACTCAAGATGCCCACCACGAGATTTTTTCGAGATGTCCTCCGGTACTGGGGAGTTTGGATCATTCAACACGTCCCGAACGCTGTCCGAATCGTGGTGGGGTTCGAAATGCTCTGTCGAGCACAAGAGATGACTCCCACGGTCAACCTCTTCCGTCGATGCTACACCCTCAAGAGCTATGGAAGTGACAATGGGTGGTTCTACATCTGCAACAGAAACAACACCATCCCGAAACTCGTGGTTGATGCTCCCACCTCAATAAAAAATTGGAAACAGAACTTCATTTTCGTCCTAGTCGGGGATTTCCCATGGGCTTCTGGTG